CGTCCTTCATCGGCCTCTTCTGGATCCATGGCTTAATCTTCTTCTCAGCCGCCAGCTCCAACATCTCCTTAATCTCCCAGGGAGCACCAATTCCAGAGCCTCCAACCTTGAGTCCACTCATCAGGAGGGTAAAGGCGTTGATAGGAGGAAGCTCGCCACCGTCAGGAGCACCAACCTGGATGAAGGTGCCGTGGGTCTTGAGCAGGCTTAGATATCCGTCTAGTGGCATCTTAGCGCTGGAAACTGTGCAGATGATGAGGTCGAGTGTTTGTGCGTTGTGCTTTTGCCAGTCCTTGTCTTCGTCGGTTGAGACGTAGAGGTCAGCGCCTAACTTGAGGACATCGTCGCGCTTCTCGGCCTTGCGGCTAATACCAACGACCTTGTCTGCTCCGAGAGCTTTGGCGAAAAGGACACCGAAGTGACCCAGGCCACCTACACCGACGATTCCGACGGTCTTGCCAGGGCCACAGCCGTATCGCTTCAAGGGAGAGTAGACTGTAATTCCACCACAGAGCATAGGCGCGGCATCAGCACTGTCCAGGCCGTCGGGAATGTTCATGACGAAATGGCCATTTGTGCGGTTGTGTGTGGCGTATCCACCGTAGCTCTTACCCTCGTCGCGTGGGTAGACGGAACCGTATGTGCTTATTGACTCACGATGGCAGTGGTTCTCGATGCCGTTTGAGCAGTCGGGACAGTCGGACTGAAGGCATGAGCGTGCTTGCGCGCCAACACCGACACGGTCGCCCTCCTTGACGTGCTTGACATTCTTGCCGACCTTTACAGCCTTGCCGATAATCTCGTGGCCGACAACGCAGGCTGGCAGCAGTTAGCACGACAAAGCTGTGACAGGAAAGAGAAGAAGAAAAAACGTACGGTATGGTGTTGGTGCCCAGCCACTACTCAGCATGTGCAAGTCTGATCCACAGATACCACAATGAGAGATCTCAATGTCGACATCATCCTCAGTCCACTTCTTGGGCTCGAATTGACCCCACTCCATCGTTCCCTTGACGCTCTCCTTGTCCTTGCCGAGCCATCCTTCGAACTTGGTGTCTGTAGCCATTGTTTTGTTTGTTGTACTTTGTCGTCGTCGTTGTTGTTGTTGTGGTGGTGGCGGTGGTGGTGTGTTGGGTATTTATGTAGGTGTTGATGTTGACCGGAAGTGGCAGAATGGATAGTTTCACCTGCTGTGTTAGTGAACAAACACTTATATACCAGCAAAGGCCGTTAACTCCGTCGATCTCCCAATATGACGTTCATTACAAGCTTCGACCGTCTAGAAGAGCCTCAACGCCATCTGTGCAAATGAACTACGGAACTGAGCTACTTTGGTAGGGCCCGTCCCCACTCCTGTCACTCCCATTGGCTACCATACTCGGGTGGACCATCATAGATGTCTACACGTAGCTTGTACCGTGGCGAGAGTGCCGGTTTTGTCTGTTGGTGCTGTACGTCATTAGCAGAAAAATTATCTACCACGTAGATAGCGGGAGTGAGCTATTCTCCCATTGGTTGCGTGCCTTGCGCTAGTGCAGCGGCCGATGGATATCGGTCACCGCCATAGATTATCGGAAGGACCGACTGATGCAAGTAGCTGACATTGCTGTGGGGGTTGGTCTGGTGATATCGGGGTTAAACGTGGAGAATTGCAACTCATCCGCAATGTCGTGTCCTGTGGGTACGGACGAACGCGGAATGCATGTGGGGTCACCGCAGAGTGCAATTTTGCGGAAGCTGTGCAACAACATGATGAGTGTAGTGAGTATTTTGTTTTCGTGTATCGTACGTTACCTGAAGCGTTGGAACTTCTCTTCCTCTGCCATTCTCTCGTTTACACGCTTAATCGTTTCAGCGTCATAGACTTCCTCCAGGCTCTTTTCACCTTTCAACACTTCCTTTTCATGCTTTGTCACCTCTTCCTTGGTCATAAGGACCAGGTCCTTCATTTGGAGGTTACTGCTCTTTTGACCTGGTGTGCTCTGATCCATAAAGCTCTGGGTAGGCTTGTTCCATCGTGTCAAGGCTAGGCGTGTGGACAATCCACTGATGATGCTTCGGCCATTGAACACTTCTTCTACCAGATAGCCCACATCGTCCTGTGTGATGGGGATCTTGAGGCCCAGTGGATCCTCGCTGAAGACTGCTCGGGCTAGCCGTTCTTCGGCACCTTGCAGAGCACCCAAGATTCCGTCGTACATCTTGTCGCGAGACTTTGACGGCAGGTATTCATGAGGATAACCGGCGATGGAAAGAATGACATGATTCGCGACAGCGAGGCCGAAGATGGCTGGCATGGTACCTAGAACGGGCAAGATTCGTACGCGGAAGTCTGCGAGAACACCCAGCTCCCCAACGTTGCCTTTGGCAAACTCCTCCTCTGAGAGAGGCTGAAGCTCAGCCTTTCCAGGACCGGGCCTCTCGGTAGAGTAGACGACTGGTATGCCATCCTTGACGCCCTTCAAGCGCAACTTCCTTCTTGTGGACTTTGACAACGGGTCGTCTGTGCTTCCGGAGATGTCGCCGATGAAGATCCTTGTAGGATCAGACTTGCAACCTGCACCCATGGAAGATATGACCTTGATGTTGTTCATGTAGCAGTATGCTAGAAGTGCAACCTTACTGTCAATGTTGTCGATGGCATCGATGACGAAATCCGGCTGCTGGCCGTTTAAGGGTGCTAGTTGTGCTGCCGCTGTTTGCTCTCCAAATAGTTCATTGCGACATTCGAAGTGTGTCCATGGAGTAACCTGCTCAAGTCGTTTTCTGAGACAGTGTACCTTGGGCGTTCCAACGTCTGCCAAAGTAGCAACTGCGTGGCGGTTGAGGGAAGACAGAGTAACCTGGTCAAAATCGATAAGCCTTAGTTTCGAGCATCCCGAGCGAGCGAGTGCAGCTGTTGCGTGTGAGCCGACGCCTCCGCACCCGACTACAATTACAAAAGCGCCCCTTAACTTTGCGAGTCCAGGGTCTGTGAGAAACACTCTATTTCTCGCCAGTTGTTCAAGGATGAGATCTAGCACACTAGTCAGGCTTGGCTATCAGGGTTATGGAAGGGAAACAATACCATCGTCATAGTCGCCTTTTCTTGCTCTTGCGGCTAATGCCATACTCCGTTCGTCCTCCTTACTTGGAGCAAAGACATTCGAAGCAGCGCCATATTCGGTCAGCTGGAGTCTGTCAGCAAGTCTCAGGCGGCATTTCAGTGACTACATATGTAGTCGATCAGAAATCTAGGTACTCACTCTGGACGCGCGATGATCGTCACTGAGATCTGGGATCGATGCTTTCAGATCCGCGACCCTCGTCATGCGTCGAGCTTTCTGAAATCCAAGAATGGCGCTTCCAACGACGAGGCCTGAAACGGCAGCAGTCGTGATAAGCTGAGCATTGTGGGACTCGGTGGCTCGCGATATCCAGGAAGGCATGGTGGCGGTGTGGTGGCACGCTTTATGGGACAATGCTCCCAATCTAAACCCACGTAACCATCTATGCACTGCAGAAGAGGAAAGATGAAGAGGAAGGGCCAAAATTTAGGATTTCGCAAAACTGCTAGACTTGATGACTTGTCAGTGATGTCGAATATCCATGCAGGTGCGGTTGTCAGGACTAGCGTGCATCTGGTAAGCGCCAAACCGTCGTGGTGGAAAATGCAGATGACCACGAGCGAGAAGGCGCCAGCGAACCATACGAAGACGTGTAGACGCGTCCGAGACATTCCTCACGCGCCGTAAAGGACGCTGGACCCGTGAGAGTCGTCCGTAGCTCATAAGAGGCCCCGACCCACGTCCCTGAAGCCCCAACTACATCGCCCATGTCTAAACTCACCTTGGGCTTGATTGCTGCTGGTGGCGCAGCCGCAGGAGCAGCAGCGACTGCCGCGCTCTACTCGACCAAGAAGGACAGCCTTCCGCCCACACCGTCCATCACCACCACTACCACGACTGTCACTGGGCCTGGCCGGCCAGCACCTGTACCCTCGGTCCCCGCCATCGCCTCGCCCGCTGCTGCTGCCGCCGCCCGGAGAGCGATAGTAGACCCAAACGGTCTCTTCCAATATGGCTTCCCCGGCCCCGTCAACGATCTCCGTCCTGCTGCTTCTCTCACATCGTCGTACGACCGAAGAACACGGAACCCAGCATGGGTCGCCGAGCACATCACGCCCGAGTCGCTAGCCAACAGCAATGCCGACCGCAAGCACAGCGTCTTCGTCGAAGACATTACAATCCCAGAAATGTTCCGCGCAAAGCTTAAGGACTACTTCCGCTCCGGCTATGACAGAGGACACCAAGTCCCTGCTGCCGATGCCAAGTGGAGTCAAGAAGCCATGGATGACACGTTTGCGCTGAGCAACATGTGCCCACAAGTCGGCGACGGCTTCAACCGCGACTACTGGGCGCATTTCGAAGACTTTTGCCGCAGGCTCACACACTCGTACCCCTCGGTCCGCATCGTGACCGGTCCTCTATACCTGCCCAAGCGCGAAGCCGACGGCAAGTGGCGTGTGTCATACGAAGTCATTGGCAACCCGCCCAATGTCGCTGTACCCACACATTTCTACAAAGTCATCTTCGCCGAAGACGGAAAGCTGGGCGGCAAAGTTGCGCTAGGCGCTTTTGTGCTACCCAATGCCAGGATTGAGAACCACAAGCCATTGACCGACTTTGAGGTGCCTGTTGAGGCGGTGGAGAGGGCGAGCGGACTTGAGTTTGCGACTAAGCTCACACCAGAGAGGAGGAAGAGGCTGTGCCAGGAGGTCAACTGCAGCGTCATTGTGAAGGAGTATGCGCAGCGGCAGAAGACATTCGCTAAGAAATAAGCGTTGCAACCAAGGACTTTACCATATGGCAATATACCAATTTCATCTTGATAAAATCTCTTGTTGCTGGTGGTACAGTGTATAGTACATGCTCATCATATTCGTACATGACTCTTTAGATCATGGATATCTTGCAAAAGGCGCCGCCTCGAATCCTTCCCCTCTGACGTCAAGCAAGCATTTACACGTTCTGCACCGCACCGCCTTGTTCCCGCTGTATCCTGCCGACGTATTGCTTGCTGACTGTGTTCCATGCGCTCATGTACTTTTCCATGCATGCGCTCATGCAGCTCTCCTCGCCTCTCGAGAGGGAGGCACCAGGCTTGGGGATGCAGCGCTCGAAGCAGTGCTCATTGAGTTTCTGTGGGTGCATTAGCATGTTTGCTACTATAATTCAGGTGCAGTAGGTAGCAAAGATGTACCTCGACCAGCATGCGCGCGTTCTGCATAGCAGCTTCCTGCTGTACTTGACGCATGACCGCTGTCTTGGGGTCGCTGGGGGAAGAAGACATGCCGCCGAATGAGTCCATGTTTTCAATCTTGTGTGTTTGTTGTTATGGAGGTGGGTGGGGGTGTGTTATGGCGAGTTCGGCGGTCGTGGGTGGCTGCGTCTTGAAAAGTTGTCGACGTCAAGAGCGGCTCTCTCGCTAGCGTAGTCGCTGCAACCCAAGACCCCTGCATTACACGCGGAGGTGATAGAGTGGCCTTTCCGATCCCCAAGATTCACTCGCAGCACTCCAGCACGTTCAAGTCGCCCGACCCGCGTCACTCTCCTCTTCGACTAGCCCTCACCCCCACGAGGCTTTTATTCTTCTCCCCAGATTACCGAAGCCCAGTCTTCCTACCATTCTTTCTAGCGCACGAGTACTCAATTGGTAGCTTGGGGATAGCTGCTCTTAGACTGCCGAGGATCAAGTGCGACCATGTTGTTCGCAAGGCCATGGACGAGCCTGTGCTTGCTCGCGGGGACTTGGACGGGTGCTTGGGCGCGGCAAGGGGGGCTGAGCGAGGATCCTGACATCAAGGCCATCTCGGTGGGTTGCTGCCCTCGGAGACCATGGGGATTTAATGCTAACGAGCGCATAGCTACGCACACATAGCCTCGAGCCTGTAAGTCGCATATTCTGCGCGAACACACCTGACCACAGAAACAATGTCTGACCCCCATACAGCCATACCTTGATTCGGACATGCAAAGCCGTTGGTGGGATTTTGGCGGAGACACTATTATTCGAACTGATAAGTACATTCGACTGGCTTCGGACAAGCCCTCGCGCGATGGCTGGCTGTTTTCGAGAGTGCCTCTTACGGCTACGAACTGGGAGGTGCGTTACACTCTACAATGTCTAACCTCTAGAGGCTCACGCGCGAGCAGATCACTTTCGAGTTCAAGATCCATGGTCAAGGCAACCTCTACGGCGACGGCTTTGCCATGTGGCTCACCAAGCAGCGCGCGCAGCCAGGAAATGTCTTTGGCCACACAGACAAGTTCGAAGGGCTCGGCCTCTTCTTCGATACCTACAAGAACAACCGTCCCGGTACCGTGTTCCCATACATCATGGCCATGAACGGTGATGGAAACACGCCATACGACAAGGACAACGACGGCAAGGCCAATGAGGTCGCTGGTTGCTCGGTATGTATCAGTCGCATCATCGTGCTTGCTAAATACTGACATGATTAGGCCCGTGGAATTCGCAATGCCCAGATCGCGACCAAAGCCCGTCTCACATACTTCCAAGAACAATTCCTCCGTCTCGAGCTCCAATACAAGTCAGAAGGCGAATGGACTCAATGCTTCGAGATCCCCAACTTCAAGGTCCCACCCGTTGCCTACCTAGGCTTCTCTGCTGAAACTGGTGAACTTTCCGACAACCACGACATCGTCTCCGTCAAATCACAAAACCTCTACAAGAAGAACCCAAGCGCCGGTTCGTCCTCAGGAAGCTCAGGCGCCAAGACTGCTTCGTCCATGACCCGGGAAAAGAGCAGCAGCGGTGGAAGCTGGACCTGGTTCCTTGTCAAGTTTGTGCTGTTCGGCCTGGCCCTGACTGGTGCCTACGTTGGCTTCACCATTTACAGGACGAAGCAAAGAGATCGTTTCTAGGTGAATAGCTCGTACCTGCGGTTCAAGGGCAAGAAGAAGCTTGTTTGGAGAGGTCCACCGATGTTCCAAATGGATGGGTGTGTCGAAGTTGGCGACGAGAACGACTGGACGGCATTGTATAGGGTCGAATGATGGAGTTCAGCTGGGGAAAAGATGGCCTTGGAAGGCCACGCACATTGTTTTTAGTTCACCTAGCGCTTTCGCTGCTATACACCTAACATATATCAAACCGAAAACACTTCAGCATGATTTGATCAAGACCAGAATAATGTCTCCGCAAACGTTAACAGATCATTGCATAGGATTTTGCAAAGGCTGCCGATAACGCGGAGTTGGGTTGAGGGTTGTTCTGGCATCCGATTTAGGGGCTTGGCTACATGGAGTATGAAAGCGGCCTTGATGTCGAATGCTCTGTTTATCAAAGAAAGAAGAAAACAAGCTACAAAGACATTGCTCCATAATCGGAAGCATCGTCGACTCTATGCGCATCTAAGTGATGAAGATTCCCGTGCCCATGTTGGCGTATGAACATGTATATCGGGATGTACATCTTCCTCAAGATCACAAAAGGCAAGGTGAGAAGCTTCAACAGCGACGCATGACGGTATATAAACGATTCGGATGTGCAGACCGCTTTTATGGGGCTATGGGGACGCCAAGACTTAGCTTCCCAATCAAGTAGGTTCGAATTTGGGTGTAGATGACTGGAAAGTGCCGGCCCAGCTTACGTTATTAGCTTACCACTAGCGTGGCCCGTGATTGCGCGCTGCATCTTCGAGACTGCGCGTCGGCAACTTTCTCTCGTCACCCACAACCCGGGCAGCGAGTGCGTACACCCCGATCGCTGCCAGCTAGCTTGAATCGCTCAGGCTACCCTTGCGCAAGAAGCAAAACGATCAGGCAATAGCTAACGTCCTATAGATCCCAGTGAACGACAAACCTTCGTCACAAGGCGATGCTAGGGACTAATCATCCCCAGCGTCTCACTGCATGACAAACAAGAACGGAAAGCAGAGGGAGTGCGCCATCATACTAGATGCAGCCACAACGCCCAGTCTATCATTGCACAGCGATAGCCACGGGCGATTTCGCAAAGCTACTGGGTTCACCTTCACGAGACTACAGCCCCAACCTTTCCCACCGCGCACTGAGGAAGAAGTAAAAGAGTTGAAGCGCCGTGCTGCCTCGCCTAACAAGCTTGGAGGACGATGTTCGCTTGTGACGTCTAACTATGTAGTTTTCAATCCGAGCGCCTTTGCCCTTTATGGCATCGCTGGTTGTGGGGATGCGTGGTCTTTGTTGTTGGGTGTCTGTGGGTCTGAGTGCTGGTGCTTGTGTTAGGTGGGTCGTTTTCTTTACAAAGTCCTGTTTTACAGACGGGCGCGAAAGAGGTCCAGTGATGATGTCCCTGTGGGGGCATTAAAGCCAAAGTCGAGTTGAGGAGCCCGATCGTTGCCTGTTGAGAGGTCGAGAGACAGATTAACGGGGAATGGACGAGGTTCCTTCTGAGGACAGCAGGAGAGCTAATCTGAGGACCATCAATATACTGCATATTGCTTTCGAAATATCCACACTTGTTCTGTGCACAAGCTGACCTACGTCAAGATCTCGCATGCAACTTTGTATATTGTAAACCATCCATGGACGTATCTCGAAGATTATGGTACTTGTCTCATGACAACCTCTCCCACATCGATGCCTAAACCAACACATATTACTCATAGACGTAGCAGAACGGTCCTGCAACCGTACTGACCAAGTCCTTGATCTTGTACACCTTGCCATCGACATTCAACACTTCCAAATCCACGTTATCCTCCAGACTCTGTGCCCTCCCACCACCCATCATCGAAGTACCACCCGCTATGACCTGTTGCCTGTTTGCAAAGTCTTGACTCTGCCAAATAGACCATACACGGTCTACCATGGAGTGGTGGAGGTAAAAATATGGGTCTACCACAGAGCATCAATTAGCAATGACACGCAAAGAGTAAAGGACTATACGCACCACCAGGTGATGTATAAAAGTCACTACCAGGATCACCAGCAACAGTGAAGTGTCCCGCACCGTGAGGGCCATTCGCAGCTTGCATGGTATCCTGGAACGATGCAATGGTTTTGCTGTTGTTGATCAAACCAACGATCTTGTCCGTTGTCGCGTAAAGCTGCGTAAGGTAATTGCTGATATCGCGCTTGATACAGCGGGGGTTGTATCCATATCCGTCTGATCGTGGATTCCGTGGAGGCGCCGGACTATCGATTGCTGCGACCGGTCTAGTCAAAGTTAGCCCAAGCACGCAAACAATACTGACAAAACTAGTGCAGCATGTGCGACCGCGCCAAATAGGAAGATGAAGAAGATGAATCATACCCAAGATTAACCATCATTCCCTTGAATGGCCCACTGGCAATACACCCACCCCCATTTCCAGCTGGCTTCAATCCACTACTACTATGCTGTACCTTCTCTCCTTGACCGCTCATACTCGTCTCACTCCCATCGAAGATTGGACTCGTCTCTGGACTGGCTGCCCAGCGTCCCCAGTCCCAGTACGGCTGCGTGCCATTGTATCCACACTCGACTCTCAACGCGTTCTCATATGCGAATGTATAGTATCTATGCCAGGATAAGAAGTTGCCCGTGCCGTGGATAGACAGTGTATTTTTCATGTGGATAGCTACAAAGTCATCGAAACGCGTTTTGGCGCCGGTGTATTGAGTGGGCGAGAGTTTGGAAGGCGCTTTGGTTATGCACTGGACAGCAGCGATGTAGGCGCGTTTTTCTGAAGCAGTGATGTCGCCCCTGGTATATAGGTATCAAAATCACTATGTATGGCAGGGGTGAGATCGTTGTGAGACATACCATTCTCGGCGTACTCGGAGTTTATCTTTGGTACATGAGGTTGATTTGGCAATGGCGGCGTCGATGGCTGCGCGGCCTTTGGTCTGGAGATCATTCTGTAGAGGTAAAGACACGAAGTCAGTGTATGCCTCACATGCATTTCGTACAGTCATGACTTACCACTGCGTCCGCAGCGCAGAGAACGTGGAGTAGCGAGAGGGAGGCGAAGAGCGCATATAGCGCCCTAAGGTTGAAGCCTGCCATCTACGACAGGACGGCAGCGATCACTGACTTGTGTTTTGAGCACTGAAGAGGAGGCTCAACTTATAGACAAAATCCTGGGCTACAAACGCCAAGGTGCAGACGACATGCTACTCGGGTCTTTCCAGCCGTGATTTACAAGGTAGGATGCATGCCAGAAGCGAATGGATTACTGTTAGATGAGGCTTTAATTAAGTTGCTGAGAGCTTCGAGGTGTGAAACTCTTGCATGCTGGGAGATGAAGGAATGCGTGGTCGGAGTCGGCAGATGCATGTCAGACGCAGAAGCTCATGTGTCAAGACCTGCAACGGGTGTGGATTCTAGGGTAAGAGATATTGCGTCGCTGTGTTCGGCCATAGTATTAGCATCTTGAACATAAGCAAGGCGTCTTGCATAAAGGTCATTTGAGTTTGACTACGGATATATCAAGCAAACGTAATTGAGATTGGAGCATATCTCAAAAAAAAGATGTCATTCTTTTCAAGGCTGGAGTGAAAATCTGAAGAGAGTAAACTAACTCAGTTACGTGAGCAGATCGACAAATTTGACATGGTAGTTGATCCACCGACCGTGCCGCTCTATTGCCAAGACGGCGTGGACGAAGGATGCCGTCTAGACGAGACATCTGTTACGAGCCAAGAATGAGGCTAATATGGACGACCATAAAGTTTGGTGGTAGTTTTGCACATCCTACGCATTGTTCAAGCACTTACAGGGTCCGAAGATGTCTGTCTTCCTTGCAATGAATGGCGGACGGCATTCCATCGATCTGCGTGCAGTTACTGTGTGCCATTTTCTGCTGTGTTGGCTGTTTTCGCTCCTCAATGTACTAAGCAATGATTTGGTGACACCCAAAGGACTCAAAAGTAGAGCGGAGATGCCCGTTAAGCGATGTCGTAGGATCATCTCAGAATGCCCTTGCACAGCATGCCCTATGGATCTGCAAGTACATGCAAGAAAGATGCAAGGCGCTGGCGGTTTGTTGAGATGAAAGCGTAGTCATTTAGCCGGAAACAAGTCCCTCTTGTCGGAGCTTTCCAACCGATTGGACAGAACACTATAAGATGCAGTGAACACGAGGTCCATATTTGACGGGGTCTGACTTTGAGGATCTCCTCAATCTCAGTCATCGGAATCGGAGGTACTTTGTTTGGTTGCCTCGACGTGGGTATGATTTGTTCACCGTATGGAAACTCCCCCTTGCAAGACACCCTTGTCGCCTTCCCGCTGATACCTTTCCAAAAACAGTTGTCTAGACGACTTCTAGATCGCGAGGTGTATGGACGTCTGAACTGCCTTGTAGCAAGGTCCTTTAGAGCCAAGACCCAAAGCACCTGCTGATGCGGCGCTTCCTTTGTCAATCAAGCATCCTCCAAGACTTATTGGTCACTTGGAGACTACAAAGCTTCCCGCGTGGTCGTCGGCGATGGATGTCGGTAGTAAGTGCCACACCTTCGATAAGGCGTACCAAGGATATGGTTCGGCGTATAAGCTCCGATGGTTACTGATAAATATCGCTTTCCTATACTATTTGAAGTAGCTTACAGTCCTTCCTTTATGTCTGGTCCTCTGCTCTTTCTCTAGGTGTCTTCATCTCTGCACCGTGTGACCAGGTAGCTCGGCTGGGCGCTCATTCATCGGCGCTTCTGACACAACATTGTTGTATGGCATCTCGTACGTTGTTGTGGTATCGTGATTCAGCTCGTACTTGTTTAGTGGTGGAGACTGAGCATGTGCCATGCTCTCGTGGGGCAGCTCTTGCGGCGGGCTTGTGTACTGTCCTCTCTTTCGTTTCCGCCAAAGGAAAAGGCCGAGTACGATGAGTGCTATGAGCGCAGCACCGCCAACTCCCACTCCAATACCTGCTTTTGCGCCAGTAGAAAGGCCTGAAGAGGTATTCTCGTTCGCTTTGGCCGTGGCCGAAGATGAAGAAGGTCCTGAGGTAGCAGTTTGAGTACCGGTCACATCACCTACTAACTGGTGATATGTTAGATTGTACAAGGTATACCCAGATATATCTTACGTTAACGCTTGAATACCGCTCATCATCGATGACTGCTATTTCCGAAAAATTCCATTTTTGCCCTTTCTGTGGCGCTGTAATGTTCGAGCTCATTACGATATGACCCAAATTTGGTGTAAGGGTAAGATGATAATCGGTCTTGTTTGCCAGGTTGGTCAGATACCACGTCCCGTCGCCCCATGAGGCGATAGTCCAGTACGCACTCGCGTCGGCGATATCACCTCGAGCCATGTATACGAACGATTTGCCCTTCTGTTGCTCGTCATCGGAGTATTTTGCGGACAGGTAACTGTTTGGACCAGATCCTTGTGAACGCAGCGTCCAAACGGTTGAGTTGAATTTGCGCAGCTGCCATCGCTGCTCGGTGTCTGTGTCGTTTCTTGTCTTGATGAATACTGCGCCCCTCGATCCATCCCCGTTATAGAGTGCTGTGCCTACCATCGACTGTGTGTGGCTCGGGTCTATGAACATTGAATACCACAGGTTTGGATCGATATCTGGTTCTTGAGCCATCGCGAGAGTATTGTGGGTCTATAATCGTAACGAGGGTAGTCGCGAGTCTTGTAAACAGAAGGCAGGTGTGCACACAACAGTGTCTTGTGCGATCAGGGGCACATCAGAACTACGGACGAGATGGCTACTTGAGTAGATCTCATTCAGCCTTTAATCGCCCCCCCACCACGGGCGCAGCCTAGCGTGAGACCTAGGACGAGCTGGTAGAGATGGCGGATGTTAGTGCCAATTAGGGAGTGGGATGAGGAGCAGATCTATAATCGTAAGCGCCGTGCAACAGGTTGCGCAGTGTCTGGAAAAGCATGTTGCAGTAGCTTGCTTTGTAAAGTCTGGCGTGTAGCTTTGGTAAAGTCGATAACGACAATGCTGCATTGGTCAATCGTGGTGCGCTAGTACAGATGGCCTGGTCTTGCTGTCATGCTGACAACGTTTGTACAATGTTGGTTGGATATAACCAGGCATCTAACGTATCCAGGGTCATCCAAGCTAGGAGGCCGCCTCTTTACGCCACGATCAACAGAATAAGCCTCAAGCTGCGAACGAGGCGCACGCTGTGATGTTTCAATCGTTGTCACAAATTTCTCTACAATCAGGAGCAAAAACGCATTTGGATGTAACGATTGTCGAAGTGGTAGAGATGCCAAATCTATACAAGGCGCGTAGAGAAGGGGACGCGGACAAAAGGTTAAAATATCAAAAGGCGGAAAGCAAGTCGTAGCCGAACGATCAAATTTGCTATTCACACATCCAACATAAACAATCCATTTATTTACTAGCCTCCAGAACATTCCTCTCCACACCACTGACCGCCTCCCTTACACTTGGCGCGAAATGCTTCCTCAGAATCTCTCCTTCCCAAATAGTCCCCGCGAAAGGATTGCTGCCCTCAATCTCAGGTTTCAGCGCGTCAAACACTCCGTCGCCTCGCCTCTCCTCTGTATTCCACAGAGGTGCTACCTTCTTGCCGTGCGTCTTGGTCACGCGGTTCAATAGACCAAGCATAGCGGTACAAGATTTCTCAGGGAGATGCATGGAAATGGACATGAGTTGTTTTGCAAAAGCAGCTACTCGGAGGGGCGGAACGGCGCGAATTGATGTAGCGGGTAGGAGGACAGAGGATAGAGAGCGGATGAGTAGGACGATGGTGGTTTGCACGTTGATTTTTGCGGTATCAGCATGAGATTCTTCGGCGTTAGGTTCGGGTAGGTGGAGGGACTTGGAACTGAGCTCGATATCTGGGTTCAACGCAACGGGGTGTAGTGTGCGGTAGAGATGGGTGATGAAGTAGCTGAGGTCCAATTTTAGGGCTGATGCTGTTTTTGCTCCATCTTGGCCTTCAAGGAGTGCAAAGGCAGTGATGACGCAGAGGAGGGATTCGCGGGTGAGGTTGCGCTCGGGTGCTTCGTTGTCGTCTTCTTCATCTGATGCGTCCTCATCTTCTTCGACTGAGGCAGCAGCTGTAAGTTCGGCCGTCGCAATGATGTCTCGCAAAGCTTCCAGGATATCTCCGAAGAAATCTTGGTTAATCAGATGGGCGTATCGTGCCAGACCTTCCAACACAGCACCCATCAGTTTCGGCGAGCGAGCTTTCAGGATTCGGAAGTATGCCACAAACACCATCTTCAGCGTCTCGGCCTGCATCCTGTCACGCTCCTCGTGACTGACAGCTGCGTCAGCCTCCTTGAACTCTTTCTCGATGGCCTTTTTCTCTTTCAGCTCCTTTCGTAACCTCTTCGTCCTGAATTCGCGCTTCTGCTTCTGCTTCTTGCCGTTGACAGTGGGGTCCTCCGCCTTGTCAACGGAATGATATGAAGCCTTCTGCGCAAACTCGGACAGCAGTCGCAGATGCAAGAACGTGTTCAGCACACTTTCGTCGAAGTGGTAATTCCGACTCTTCATCATCTTGGTCAACATTGTAACAGCTTCCAGCGCAGCATTGCCGTCTTCGTCGTTCTCAAAGAGTGTTTCCATGGCCTCTCTGCATCGCACAAAGTCCGCATCTACCCTCCTCGTGCTAAGCTTGCCAACAAGAATCTTTATAAGCTCGCTGCGGAAGTTGAAGTGTGGTACGGAATTCAACAGATTGCATGCGCAGCTAACAGCAACCGATGCAAGACTCGCCATGTGCTGCTTGTCCGACCCACTATTCTTTGCCAGTCTCGCCAAATACTTGACATGTGCTTCGTAGCTCGATACCAGCTTCTGTTCGAATTGCCGTAGCTTCTTGACTTCCTTGGAGATCTTCTCCTGCATTTTTTCTTCCGATAGCGGCCGTATTCTGTACCCAGGGATGACATCCTTGAAGATGGAGACCTGTGTTGCCAATGCCAACTTCCTAACGTTGAAGTTCTCTGATTCGGCCAGTGCTTGTAGTGTCTTCAGCGCTCCGATATGCTCTTCAGGATCTTCGTTGATCAGACTCGCTATGCGCGCTAGTTCTTCCTTGGCCTCGAGTATCATTTGTCGCGCTGGTATCTTCGGCTTCTGTTCCTCTACCTCTTCTACATCCGAGGCCTCAGCCGCTTCATCCTCGCTCCCAGACCCGAGAAAGCTGTCCGACTCTTCCTCTTTGATATCCTGCACATTGGGCGGCGCTGCTACCCATCCTTCTGTCGTCCTGACGGGCAGTTTCTTGTTCTCTTTCTGCTTCTTCAGTTTGCGCGGTCGCGTTTCGTAGTCTTGTTCGAGATCCCATTTCGCAGCATTCTTCAGAAACTTGGCCTTGTGATCTTCGCTCGCACCATTCGCACGCTCGCCGTCTTCGGGTGGTGAAAGCCTTCTTCGCTTCGCGACCGGTACGCTTCTCGACATATTGGAAAATACTCGTGGGACGATATGGGCGACAAGGATCGGTGTTGGTTGAATGCTTGACAGGATTTCTGAAATTTTGGCGGAGGCCGCGGCGGAGACTAGCCGCATCCGCTCCACATTTTTTTGGCAGCAGATCTCGACTTTGCGAACTTGCGCCCAGCTTCAACCCCAACTCTGAACTTCTTCACACGCATACACAATGAGGCCCCTCACAGAGCCAGAGACCAAGACTCTCTTCGAGAAGCTTGCGACGTACTGTGGAAAAGGCATATCCAACCTCATCGCCGACCCCACGGGCGGTAACGATCGCAATGTCTTCCGCGTCCAGGTACGAACTGCTTCCAATTCGTCAAGCCTCTCCCATCACCATGCATATGCTAACCGTTAAATCAAGGGCTCACGTGTCTACTATGTCCGCGAATCTCTCGCCAACTTTGCCACGTCTGTCGCACGCGACAACCTACTCTCCCTTGGAATCTGCCTGGGTAAATTCACCAAGACAGGCAAATTCCGTCTGCACATCACAGCGCTGAGCGTAATTGCCCCGCACGCGCGATACAAGGTGTGGGTTAAGCAGAACGGTGAGATGCCGTTCTTGTACGGCGGCAACGTGCTCAAGGCGCATGTGGGACGGTGGAGTGAGGACTGCCCTGAGCACCAAGGTGTTGTTGTGCTGAGTATGAATGACACGCCACTGGTAAGTTGCAGCCATGGGGACGGGGGTGGAGAGCTAGGCTAACATATGTTTTGTAGGGTTTCGGTGTGAGTGCACGATCGACGGCCGAGGCGAGGAAGCTGGACCCTACAGGTATTGTCACGTTCAGGCAAGCGGATATTGGGGAGTACCTGAGAGAGGAAGATACATTGTTCACGACTTGAGCGATGGGAGGCTTGTGCGACAACAATCCTGCTCTTCAAAAAGAGCTTGTTCCTTCTAACGAAGAGAATCAAAGAGCAAAGTCAGCGTGGATCGCCTACGCATTTGCTTCAGTATCGCGCGCTTCCAGTGAGCAAAAAGAAGAGAGGCGTAACGGGGCTGCATACTGTAAAGAAGACTCTAGACGAACGAACGAATGAGATACCCAACTACCTTCACTGTCATGTCGCGTTTGGTGTTAGAGCTTGCAAGATGAAGTAGTCATTCCAATAGCATAAAAGCATGATACGACTAAAGTGTTATTATGAATTGCTTCTAATGTCTTCCCGACTCGGACGTGCTCTTGCTTGTCCTGTTGATTCTGATGTACATTTAATCTTTTTGTAGCCGGTTGCTCGGCAAGGGTATCAATCTTTGATCCTGAAGTCGCAGTCTGTTGATGAACAGTTTACCGCCAAACTCCGCAAGGCAAACCTATCAAGCGCCATCACGCACTCAACCGAGCTTCTCAAGGAGCTTCCTCCTTCTGCGCTCTACCAGCTCGTTGTTCACCTCCTCGAGTGTTGGGACGCGCCATCGTATGCCGTCACCCGCATCTCCAGGCAATTCCATCCACTCCTTGTGCGTCTTGCTTGGCTTATCGTCCATGTCATCGCCGAGCACCATGAAATTGTCCCAAGCCTCTCTCTCTTTGGCTTTTTCGTATGCTAGCAACGTCCCATCCTCTTCGTCTAGGTTGTAGCCGTAGTAGCCCGCATCCACCTTCTGCCTCAGCTCGCTCCTCTTTTCGCGCCCCTTATCCATGTCGTCTTCCGGCCTGCTCTGCCTCTCGAATAGCTCTTTAACTCCCGGCAGATCCTTCGCTCGTCCAAAGTATCTATACCCCTTTCCGCCTCCTGGCACCTCCCGCCCTTCCTCATCCAGCACTCGTCCGCCTCGCATATAATTTGGCCCACCCAAGCCTCTTATCTGACTCTCCCACATGTGCTTCTCTCTCATGAGTTTGTTGATCTCATCGTTGAGGTCGCGGATCTGGTAGTCTGAAAGCGCTTCGTCCTGAATCTTTGTAACTTTGCGGGAAATCTCCTTTAGCACTTGGCCGCGCCATTTCTCACACACGGGAATCGAGTTGACCGAGGTTATGAGCTTGGGGCGGCGAGTGCGCGAGATGTCGATGATTCCAGCTTCGGCGGCCTGCGCAGCGCGAAAGCGGAAGAGCATCGAGTGCGCCTTTTCGGAATTACGCGCCATGACTGCGGTTCTGACTCGATACTACGTTCCGAGTGTTCAAGGGTCGCAGCGGCGACAATTTTGCTTTGGAGCGGCGCTGATCTTGGGTCGGGAGCTATATGGCGTGCTTCGTCGCGCTCTGGCCTTGCGGTGGTGATTTGTATTATGCGCTGGTTGCGAAAGTCTATTAAAGGTATACAGAAAGCTGCCCGCAGTTGCAGAAGTGAAGGTTCGACGGGAAACGGGATGCGCGATGGGTGGTTGATGTTGTTGTCGAGGAAAGATTCAAAATGACAGGCGCGTTGGCTGGAGCGAAAGTTTGGTGTTTCGACGCACGCGGCAGATCTTGGCATTATTGGGCCAGCAAGGAACGCCTTTCTGCGTGCATGAACCTCATGCGAGCATATCCACTTCGATCCGCCATGCTATTTGACAGACACATTTCTGCCATCCTACCTTCATCTCGCTTTGGCAGGCCTGTTGTGAAAGTCGTAATATCTCCATAGAACGATAAGCAAGTGCAGCATCTATGAATAGAATACTCACTCTGACTTGCTTCTTCCTTCGTGCTCGCCTGTTTTACATACAGGCTGTCTTTCTTTGCACGAAGAAATTATATGCATGGTCAGGGAAACGCGATTTGCAATTTCGATCTTTCTTGATTCATCTTCTATCAATCTGACTACAAGCCGTCAACACTATCTTCTAAACCCAAGTAAAAACATTATGTGACGCCACCATGCTAGGGATACGACTGAAACGATAATGCATGGTCCAAGTGAAAGAAGAAAGGACAAACGAGTTACAGACGGTAGAAAAAATACTTCTAGTAGAATGGAGAGAAGCCGGGAACTAGTCCGTAAAGGAAGCGTCAGGTCGTGTCAGTGTACAGCTCCAACGTACTGTGCAAATTGTACAGAAAATGCATCACCGTCGAACGCCATGCACAAAGCCCCTTGAACCTGAAATCGAGTTTGAGTTTCTGCTTCATCTGGATCCAAACCGAGATGTAACGTCCAAAAGCCGAGAGATGGATTGATAGATACATAGGAAAATGGGAACGGTTCCCATACGAAACAACTAATGCTAAAGGAAAAGAGACTGTCAGTCAGATCAAGTGACTAGTGAGGTGCCGCTTAGAACGAACACAAGTGATAATATAGGAAAGAGTGTAGGCGTGAGGCGAAGATTATGCACCAGCTCCATAGTTTGCTGCTTCCATCTCAGTCTGGTGGCGCATCTGCTCATTGCGCATCTCAGTTCGCGACTCAGTCCGTGATTCAGTCCGTGATTCTGTGCGAGACTCTGTGCGAGACTCTGTTCGGGATTGTGCGCGCGAACTTATGGAACCAAAGAGCGAAGGCCTGGAAGCTTGAGAATTGACTTGTCGACCTTTGACTGAATGTTGGTGAAGGTGTCCAACGTCGTGTTTGCCTAAGACATGTTAGCTCTTGTACATTGTTGCGATCAAAGAATCTTACCATCGCAGCATGCTCGGACATTAGGCATGAAATCCTGGTCGCGCTCTACGTGTTCATGGATGTCCCGACTAAGCTCCATATTCGAGACGCTAGGCTCTTCGTACATGGCAGACTCTGTAGCGCTGGTCCTGCTGTTTCGCCGGCTCGTAAACGATCCTCGCAGAGCAGAGACGCTGGGTCGGAGCATGCTGTTGATACGGCTCGAAACAGATCCATGCACCAGTGGCTCGGTTGATGTTGCACGATGTGGTGTAACGTGCGACTGTCGAATCGTAGGTACTTGGCCATAATCGCGAGACGACGTCCTCCTGGTTGCATATGACGCCGTGGAGCCTCTTGAGCGCCCTGTTTGCCGAGAGGAGCTGCGGTATCCACCATTGAATTCGTCCTGGATCTCATCTTCGGTGGCTGCCTTGTGCTCCTGATCAGACTTTGCAGGCGACTTCTGCTGTTCACTCTCGTCGACCCGTTGGCATAGATAGTTCAACGCGTTGTACCATGTCTCGTGCCTTTGACCTGTTGTAGCAGTAAACTTCATGGATCGACCAGGCGTGATGACGAGCAAGCTCTTCTGGTGAAGTCCGGGAGGTAGAGGGTTAGGGTCATCAACTTCTTGAACAGATTCGATAGCAACGCTTTTAGCCTTTAACGTCGTTTTGTCAGCACTCTGAGGATCTCGGTCGCTCCAGTACAGCGTCCTGGTATAAGGATGGATCCAGAAGAAGCGGCGATGGCGGTTCTCAGACATGCCTTCACGCCCGGTCTTGCGGGTGTACTTCCACAAGTACTCGCCGATCATGGTCTGAGTGATAGCCTGTATCATGCGCGGATCTGTCGCGCCAGGCGGCAGTCCATTTGCAGCAAAAGACGGGCCGCCTGGGATGTTGAAGCGCTGGTCAATCTCCGAGGTGAACGACGACAGTGAGGACCTCCGGCTAAGAGGCGAAGAAGCTCCGCTGCGCTGCGATTGTCGGCGTACGCGTGGTGTGGTTCCGCCTGTCCTGGGGGTGAGAGTGTTGCTGTTCGTCTTGATAGTAGGCGTATGCGGTCGCTTTTTGTAGGCAGATGCTGGCATTGTAGGCGGTCCCATTGCGCCCGGAGAGATTGGTTTGAGAGTCGCTGCGGCGATGACTTCCTTATGATCCGAAGGCAGTGGTGGCGGTGTTGCAGCGCGAGAGCGCATACTTCCAGAGCTACCAGGACGCTTGGGTGTTCGGCTTGGCTCATTTGCGTACTTTTTACCAGGCGACTCAGGTGGAGACAGTGACTTTTCTAGCCCGGACGTGGTGATCAAACTACTCCATCGCTGACTCCGGGCGAGCAGTAGCTTGTCGATTTGCTGGGCAGACACCATTGTCTGAGTGCCTCCGTCTGTCATTGGCGTTCGGGGCGTTTCCCTAACAACATTGGCATTCACAGGCGCAAGAGGCATACGACCATCCGTGCTGTCAACTCGTGGGGTGCTCATCTCTGATGTGACATCCTTATCCGAGGGTAGTGTAGCGTCAAAATAACCAACCTTTGGTGTAGATACTTGCTTGTTCTCCATTGCTTCTGTCTGAGAAGAAGCACTGGTAGTTACAGCAGGCGCGACGGCCCGATGAGCAGTAACAGGTCTTGACGGTGTCAATGGTTCAGTGCCCTGTGTAGCAACAGGAGACAATGTCATGGTGGGAGCTGAAACACGATTCGCTGTGGATGGACGACTTGTCGGAGTTGGCAGAAATGCCGGAAGCGTCGGCGACTCAGGCTGAGTATCCTGGACAGTTCGCACATCGGAAATGTTGTGTACAGAAGCCGAAGGAGCAGGGGGTGTGACCGGTTCGGTCTGAAGTCCGCTAAGGACAGACAATTGTAGAGGTGCCTGCTTTGGCTGTACGGGTTCAATAGCTTGAGACGAGACCCCGGAAAAGTTGGCAGGAGACGACTTCTCTGGTACGACTGGCTCAGTTGACCGTGAAGACAGCCCGGAGAACGAGAACGGTGCTCCTCTCATAGGCTCCACAGGATGGGATGTCTGGAAGGACAGCGACGAGAGCTGTGGCGGGTCTGCTTTAGGGATTTCCACTGGGTTGGTAGAACGAGCAGAGAAACTTGACAGTTCCAACTGTGGTTGCCGCAGTGCAGCAGGCTCGGTAGCCTGTGCGGAAAGTTGAGAAAACTGCTGCTTGCTGGGTCTCGGCGCCAGCGGTTCTGTTGATTGAACGGACGTTACAGAGAACGCGGATGGGACCGCACGAGGTAGATCCTTAGGCTCAGTCGTGTGAGACGACAAAGAAGACATCTGCAGCAATGTCGGTTTGTAGGGTACATCCCTAGGCTCAGTCGCGTGAGCAGACAAGCTTGACATCTGGAGTGGTGCAGGCTGTTTGCTGTGATGAGAGTCATGTGCAGTAGATGCTGGAACGATATCGGAGATTGACCTCGACTCCGACGCCGAGGTAGATTCGTCGTGCTGTGTAGGCTCTGTCGCCTGCGCATAGATAGCAGACGTGAAAAGGCCTGCTGGAGCCAGTAGCTTGGGGGCCGGAGCTTCCCGGGGTTCCGTAGTCTGCTGAGAGATAGACGACACGTCCAGAGAAGGAGCAATGACCTTCTCCACCGCTGGTACAATAGGGTCAGTACCTTGGGATGACACGGTGGATACCCCCAGAGAAGGAGGAGCAACATGTCGAGGCTCGGTGGTATTGGCAGACACCGACGACATCTTTAGAGGAGCGATAGGTACAGCACGTGGCGTTGTATCTTGTGCGTTCAGCGAAGAAATTGCGAACAACGGAGCTGAAGGAACTCTCGGCTCGGTTCCTTGACTTGAGAAAGATGATACAGCCAGTTGGGGTATCTTAGGGAGTTGAGGGCTGGTAGCATGGCCAGAAAGGGTAGAGAGCCCAAGCGTTGGCGGGAGCACATGCTTAGGTTCGGTGTCTTGCGAGGAGACCAAGGAGACTTTGAGATCTTGACGGGGTAGAGCTTGCGGGCTCGTATCTTGCGAATGCAGGGCAGAGACTCGCAATGTAGGCAAGGGAACGGCTTGCGGTTGAGTGTTCTGGCTTGAAATGGAAGATATGGAGATGGGTTCAGGAACATCTGCTTCTGTCATCGTGCCCGAATCCACCATAGTCGGCTTGGGTGCATCCGACTGAAGAAGGGACCTTCCAAGAACGGCCTTCCTTAGAGGATCTGGCGTGGCATGGCTGGAATACACGACACTGGATCGACTTGGCGAACCCTCCACAGAACTGGCATCGTCGTCGTCTCCACTCAGATCGTTCAACTCTGCTAACAGACTCTTGCCTTGGGCTGGAGTGTTCTCGTTGCTGCTGCTAACATAGCCGGCAGGAGAGTCTCTTGAAGCGGGTGGCGTACCTGCGAAGAAATCCAAACCTCTTGGCGTCGATCTCCGCGAACTGCTGTCCCGAGCCTTCAACCTGAAGCGAGAACTCTGGTGGTGAAGAGGAGTCCTGAAGTCTGAATCATATTCGTCGCCAGAGGCGGAGGCTGTACTTCGGTAGGAATTGATGCGACCACCTTGTGAGATGG